GAAATAGAAAAATGTAATCTCATCCACAACCATGGCTGTGCCTCAGGCACTCTTTCACCCTTTTTACCACTGATCCTCCCTTAGGGGCCTTGCCCTCTCTAAAGGAAGAGGGAAATCTATAATCTAGCAGATGGCAGAGGATCTATGGGAAATTCGATAATCGGGAAGAAGCTGGTGATGATGGTCGCTGAAGTAGAGGGCAGAGAAGTGGAGGTGGTGGAGGGTTATGGCAGCTCAGGGGCCGAAGAGTAGATTTATTCTCACGTGGTCAACAGAATGTAAACCCACGTTGAGGGTGTGCTTTGGTGGTCTATGTCTTCGTCATGGGTGTCATACAGACTGAATGTGAGTTGCTGGGTGTCGACCCAGGGGCGTGGTGGTCGGGCGCCAGCACAGCCATGTGAGTCAGGGATTGTTGGAGCAGTGCCTTTGTGGGGAAGCAGAAAGAGAGAGTGTGTGTGTGTGCTAGAATGTAAATGTGCAAGAGGCTCAGATTGAAGCATTTCTTTTCATAGACACAGTGGATAGGATGAGAAAGTCGCTGCCACACACACACACACACACACACACACACACACACACACACATACTCAAATACTCCTCTGCATCCTCACTCTAATATAACACGGAGGTTGGGGAGTATGCAGTGTAATGTAGTGACACCCGGTTTTATCCATCATCTGTTTTTTAAGTTTTAAAAAAAATATATATATCTCTTCTCTTTTCACTCAATCACAACCATACCTACCCTTTTCATGTTTTAATTGCTTTTGATTTGTCCTGTAAATCCTCCCACCACTCTCCCGTTTAGCAATGGGATATCAATAACAAGGCACATTATGTGTAACATTTCCTTCCGGGACCGAGGGGAGTCCATGAGGAAGCTGCTTAACAATAAACTGAGGCACAACCTCCGACTGCACAAACACAGAATGAGGCAGCAGAATTCGATCCGACAGTTTTAATTGATTCTGTCTCGTCTGTTGTTCTGTATGTTCAAACTGTGCATTTTACTGTGGCAGTAAGAGCATTTTGTGTCCACAACAATCATGGATGGATGTTTTCTGTCAGTTAAATTGATGACATTAAAGAGTTGCATCCATGACAGACATGAAACACTCACTTGTGTAATCGAGTTTTCTTCCTGTAGACGCTTGATTTTTTTAGATGCAATCTTGTGCATCCCGCCCCACCCCTGCATGGAAACTGAGCAATTTAGCTCATATTTAATAGATACAGTTTATCTTGAATATTAACTTTGCGTAAAAGATAAATGGTACGCATTTATTTTTAAGCAAGGTTAAATCACATTTTGGCTTTATATCAGTTTAAACTGTAACTATAAAGGAAAAAGAAAATGTCTTCATTTTCTGAGGAATAACAGATCAACATTTGCATCCTTTTTTCAAAATAGCATGTTATTAGTGCATGTGAATGCAACTGTCCATATTTTCCTAACTTGCATCCTTATTAAAATGTACTGTGCTTTGTCAGCCTCGATGATGCATACAGTGGGGCAGCTGTATGACATTTTTTTCTCTCTCTTTCTCTCCTATCTGTGTGACATCTGCTGAACTTGTCGGGTGTTTACTGGTGTAACAACTGGTGTCTTCACTCCCCCACCCCCTCCTCTTCTCTCTGCTGCTCCCCATGCCCCCACACAATGAATACACTTGCATCCAGACTACAGAACCAATTGTCACGCTGGGAGGAAGGCAAATCAAATCTTACGGCAGCAACTAAGCGAGGAGATTGCTTTTCCTCTCAGTGGCAGAGAGGCGAGCCCGTCGTCGCCGTGCCTCAGGTTTTACTGAAGAGAAAGAAGCACAGGGTGAAAAGGGGAAAGCTACTGGGCTGCAGCAGCTGGACCGCAAGTCTCCCGCAGGTCAAGTCTCACCCATTTCCTCCCATCTTCACCCTCTCTCTCGCCACTCTCTTTCCACTTCCTTCCCCACTCATCTTGACACTACCTATCAGTCACCTGGTGGCACCAGGGACTACATTCCTCCCTCCAGTCCCCCAGATGAAACGGAACAATAATTACGGGGATAGAGTGGCTCTGGCCGCCAAACTGGGGCCAGTCAGATCACAACAACACATTGTCCAACCTGATTAAGTAGCCATTTGTGGCATCTTCGCTGTAGTTAAGCAGTCCTCATCATCTTGCCTGAAACTTGACCTCCCAGCAAGATATATTGACATGTCCTCCAATTTGAGGTCAATCAGAAATGTGGGGGCAGACATTACATTTCTTTACAGGAAGCCTGCATTGGCTAATGCATCCGATTCTTCCACAGAAAGGTTATGTCCTCAAGTGTATTTGTTTTATTCCACTGACAATTCCTAAACCAAATGTGGTTATCTCCACTGAATCCTTGGATCAATGAAAAGCTGCTGCTGTGTTGAAGTATGAGATGGAGGGGAAGAGATGGGGATGCAAAAACACTGAATAGTGGAATATTATGAAGAGTCTCCTTTGGCTGCACCGGCTTCACACTTAAGAGGGCTCCGTGTAAAAATCCTGAGAGAGAATTGCATTATGGAAAGTACAGTTCCATTTCAGGACTGGAACAGCATGAAAGCAGGGGCATACTGCCGTCCTTTTCTGGCTGTGCTCACACAGAATCTGCCATCCAAACCAATTACAGGCTGCAGCCAGAGTGACATTCACAAGAAATGTTCTATCTTGTCTTTTAAATGAAGTTTCCCCCTTGTTACTCATGCCTTGCATTTTCATTAGGCTCTCGCTGGATACACAGCCACTGTAGAAGATGAGGCAGTTTAATTCATGTTCTCTGGGAGCAACGTGGAGCACAGGTGGAACATATAGTATATACTCGTACAGTACATGTTTGCACTATTCATGCAAACAGATAGATAGATAGATGGCGGGTGGGCGGGCAGACAAATAGATAGATGAAAAAGAAAATATATTTTTAATTCTTTGATAGAATCAGAATGCAGGATATTTAAAAATAATAAAATAAATCATATATGTTGTATATTAATATCTAAATAATATATGTTCCATATTTTTAATTCATGATTAAACCGAGTTTCAGTGTGTTGCCACTGCCGTTACCTTTGATATTTAATGGAATCAAGCTGAACAGGAACAAAAGGAGTCAGGGGTAATACAAGAGAACAAACATGTGCTCCAAATTAAGGGCTAATAATAAAATGTTAATTAAATCCTTTTTTATAAATTATCTTCTCTGTAGTAATGAGTGAAAGTTTAATTAGGGGTAAATGGTAAAAAAAGAGATGGAATGATGCTAACCTTCCGCATAAAGACATTGCATCATAATTTAGCAAAACCCCATTCAGAGGCCTAGCCTTGCATTGTTGCATATCATAGAATAATTAAGAGTAAACGAGGTGAGATGGAGAATAACAGCTTCTATACTTATGCACTTTGCAGATTATTGAAAGATAACGGCACCTCCAACAGACACAACGATTCCTGCAACTATGGAGACAAGAACGGCGTCAGCGTCAGTCAGATAATAATGCTGCACAGCATATATGTTGTCTTTGGAGCCAAGAGATAATGGCATCAATACCAAGAATCCAAACAAACAAGGACATGCATTTAGTAGCATTAACAAGCCTTTACATTTTTCATAGACTGCAAACAGGTCACGGGAGCTATTTGCCAAAGGTAAACACCGGCAGCTGTAATCTGCCAGCATGATTTTTATTTATTTATGTATTTATTTCAAAAGCGATCCAAGACGACTGGGACTAATGTTTGACATTTCTACTGCAGCTGCATCCACACGGTTTAGACTCTTTGGATTTGTGGCTGTGCTGAAAAAGTTCAAAATATTCAACCCAGTCAAAATCCAATAAGGACACAGTCACACAGTGAGTTTGAATCCAACTCTGTTTGTATGACGGTGCTGGGCAGGACCACTGCTTCCTTGAATACGGAGCCCACTTGATAATCAGCAACTGCTCTCTCGTGCCTACATTAACCTTTCTTATCTCGGGGGTGACTTTTTCAACATTGTTTTGATATCTGTAGTGTAGACTTCCCTCGGAAGTAAACCAGCGACTCACGGCTGTTATCAGGATTCACTATCTGCTCCGTGGAATTTAAAGTGAAGGCTCTTCTTTCTTTCTGCAGAAAACACCTGCATCTTATCAAATTTTGTGGAAAGGATCGTATCCTGTCTTTTCGAAGGACTGGGAAAGTCCTTTGAGAGGCTTTGATACCCTTTGGCCCTCTGACATCTTACCTAGTGTGAGTTGATGCTTGGCAGATGCGGGAGCGGCGACCTGCTCAGTGTACACTGCCTCCTCTGTCCGTGTGCTGTTACTCATCAGACACTCTCCCGCTAAATAAATGTTTTAAAAAAAACGAATGTAGGATGCCTTTGAACTGTGTTCTCTAATGTGGGTCAGAGATCTATCGTATGCATATTCTAAAAGCCTTTTCATCTGCAATTGCGGAGTTAAGATTCCCCTGGTACACTCTTAATTTCATCTACTTCTCTTGCAGTTATTTATTTAATATTTCTACATTAATGTCTTCTCAAACATGGTCAAAGTGAAGAGTTCAGAGAAGAAAAAAGGGAAACTTTTCTTCTCCCTCTGTCTGCAAGATAGTCTGTCCTCCCTAATGACGACATTTTAAAGATGGTGGGCTGAGGTGGGGTGGGGGAGACAGGGATGTAGAGCGGGGCGGCTGAAGAGGAGAAGAGAGGCTGCGCTCACTGCAGCACTCTCCTCGGCTCTTAGCTCCCAGTCAGCCTCTCTGTGTGTGTGCTTTGAGAGAGAATAGGATACAGCCGTATAAAAGCCGAGGCTGCTCACCGGGGCCTTTGTGTAAAATAACATTTCTACTGAAAGCCAATTACTGGTAACATTATTTTGGTTGCTTCCATTATTAAAAGTACCTCTCTCTCTGTTGCACCCCATCATCCCTCAACCACAACCTTTCCACCCCCATGCCACCCATTTACCCCCCCCTGCCCCCCTGCATCGCTCTCTTACAGACGGAGAATTATTCCATTGACGCCAGTTACGTGAACAGCAGAGCCCACCTCATTAAAAGGTATGTCTTGATTAGGAATTGTTACCAGCACCTCGTTACCATTGTTATCTGTAATTGCTTTATCTAATGAGTGCACAGCTACTGTTGCAGCTAAATGTCTTCCCGCATGTTTTTTCACTCAGTGTAATTGCAATGGGAGGATAAGATTTTGGGATAAACATTATTCAGCACAATACATTAAGGAGACACTTGTTGAAAAGAGCCACAAACTCATACTTTCAGATTATGAGATTACACAGAGCTGCGGAATCTGCAAGCAGCGATTCTCCCATTTACAGATAACCTTATTACACTCCTCATTGGCAACACACGTGGCTCATGTACTTAATGATTAAATTCAGTTCAGGGGATTTCTCCGCTATTTGCCAAGACATTATGTTCTTTCTTTTCCTTGGGTGAGTAGTGAAGAATAAACATCTCCATTGTGCATTGTTATTCAGTCCACCTGAACAAAGATGTTAGATAGATTTGCAGGAATGCAGGATTGGGGGGTCGGGATAGGGGGTCATCACAATAATACCCTGCAGTCGTGGAGGTTTTTGTAACCAGGCTGTCTTCAAAAACTACAATTTTCCCATTTTACCTGCAGCTACGGAACATTCCAGGCTTCCTTTTGTTTGAGGCCATCCCAGTCTTTTGAAAAGCCATTATGGCAATTTCCCACCCAAAAGATTTCCTTGCATTAATGTAAACAAAGAGCATTCAAGTGTGGGCCTCCGCAGCACACTACAAAGAAATCCCCTCAGGAGCCAGTAAGCCTATGGTCTGGGACAGGTGCAATTACAGTGATAACATCAGAGAGCCCGCATTACCTCCACTGCAGTCCTCTCTCCCAGGCTGGGGAATGTGAGGCTCGGGCTGGGGAATGCAGCCTCCTTGTCCTGTCCCTCTCCTCCTCCTCAACCTTTCTTTTTGTTTCCACACATTTGTTTACCGTCTATTCTTTTCTAACCTCCCTCTCCTCTTTCACACACTCATTCATGTATTTTTCCTCATGCAAGAACACATGCTCATATATTCACCCCTATTTAGTGTTGTTTGTAAAGCAGAATTTGTTCCAGTGGGATAGAAATCAAATGAAGGGAAATCATGCTGTTACTGTGCAGCTGTTGATTGTGCATCACGCCACCACACCCTCTTTATTGACTGTGAGCCCCAAACAAGACAGATGCTCAGTTTGTATGCTCCCAGCGTTTCCTACATCCATCTTCCTTCCAGGAATTCCTGATTACTGCAGTATTTGTTTGATTTTAGTGAGTGAGTGCCTCCTGTTTGTTCTGTCCGATGTCCTTGAAGTCAGTGCATCAATCCAAAATGTCCCGTCTGAAACGAGCTGTAGCTGCTGTGCTAGTATCTGTGAAGGTAGAAAAAAACCCTCCATGTAATCCAAAAAACAGCCTCTCAACAGATTTAAACCTTCCTCTTATTTCATGGTTACTGCAAGCGAGGCTGGAGAGGGGGCTTTTTGATCTTTGCAAAACGTGTGGCGTTTTACAAAGATTTATCCTAAAAGAAATTACCATTCATCTGTTTGGAATTCATGGAACTGGCTCGCGTAAAAGGGCACAGAATTCAGAGGAAGGACGTAAAAAGAGGACAGATGTAAAGACGGACAGCTCGTCACAAACCATCAGAGACAAGAGGACAGAGGAGAGCATGTGAGAGAAGGTGATGTGACAGTTAATCAACATTTCCCTCTCCTCCCTCCTGGCCCCCATGTAGCACATCGACATTCAAGGACCTGGAGGGGAACAGTCTGAAGGACAGCGGTCATGAGGAGAGCGACCAGACCGACAGTGAACACGATGTCCAGAGAGGACACTATGTTGACACTGCTGTCAATGACGTGCTGAACATGACTGTCCCCCCCAACGTTTGCCAGCTGCCAGACCAAGGTAAGAAACTCCGTGCCTGAGTGAGTGTGTGTGTGTTCGTGTACACGCACTGTGGGGGCTTAGAGTTTTGCAACATCCATCCTTTGGAGTATGTTTTTGCCAATTTCAAGATAAGACCAATGTGTACTTTTGTGTGCACTTGAGTCTGTTTTCGTGCCTCCAGAGCATCTTTTAAGGTGCATTTTGCCCATTGCCGTCTTCAGAAGTGCAAGTGTGAATAACAACACCGTTTTTTTTTCATCTTTGATGTCCTACTAGAGCAGCAAATGTGAGGGATCTCTGACAGCTCAGACTACCCTTTGATACAGGCTCAGGCAATATTATTGACTGATAGAAGCCATGTCAGCTCTTGAAGCCGGGCCTGACTTCAGATGTGCTTGAATGGCAGCAATTAGGCTCACAAAGGTAGAAGGTGGAAATCTACATATTCCACGTAGCCTCATCCATTATTCAGTGGGATCATTTAGCAGGGAATTAATGTTGATGTTTCATTTCTGACTCACCGTTTAAAAAGACATCCACTCGGTTGGCAGAAGTCAGTGTAAGGGTCATGTTCATTCTTAACTACTGCCACTCAGACTGAGGGAGACAGTGGGTCAGTAAGAGGGAGAGCGGAGAACCAGGATAAAGCTGTCTGGAGCAGAGCAGGATGTTACTATATGCACCTGAGGGTATTTACTGAGCTCAAAGGAAACACCACATGCACAGGTGCAGCGGCTCAGCCGAGCACGAGAGTCAGCGTGTGTGAAAAAATTGTAGCCGTTTTTTTTTTTTTAAGGATGACTCACATTCATTTTAATCTGGGTGAGCAGGAAACACCGGACATTTTATTTTTAAAGCACACTCTCGAGGACATCACGTACAGATCCGGCTCGCTGTGTCTGAACTATACGTTTTTTTGTTGTGCTCCAGTTTGGGAACTTGTGCCGAATTTAGTTTTTCTTCCCTCAGTTCACATCGACATAATTTAGCTTCCTTCTTTTTTTACAAGCACTGCCCTAGTGAGCCTCACTCACTCACTGCTTTCTTCCTCCTCAGCTCGTATAGAGGATACATTTTAATGAGTGAGGGATAACGAAAGGAACCCTACTTTATAAAAATGCATAAAGAAATGAAGATTATGTGAATTTTTTTTTCTAAATAATTTATCTTTCTATTTTTATCAGTGGACTGTGAAGTGTGTGGGTGCAGTTGAAGAAACAGTAATAGTCACGTGTTGGCTCATCCTGGTCCCTGTTGTATTGAACTGAGCAAATGCTTCACTTGGAGCAGTTTTGCTGATGATGTTATTAGACCTAGAAGTAATAATATTAGACAACGTGCACTTTTCAGAATAGAGTCATACATACAGCCTGCATGGCTGGTACATTATACTTTCTAACAACTCTGCCATAGAGCATGAATGACATTCTCCTGAGTTTTACACAAAGGGGCCCTGCAGGATAATCTGAGGAATGAGTGTGACATTTGCGTTCTCACATACAGCCCTTTCAGAAGAATATCTGGAGTTAAGAGCATGTCTGAAAGCTGCTATATATATATTTATGTAGGACCTTGGAGTATGGTGACCATTAGAATCATGTTGCACTGGGTGTTTTCCCTCGGTGGCATCAGACAGTAATGAAAAGTGAATTTGCTGACTATCGGTTGCCAGCTGTAATTACTTCACAACCTGCAAAAGTTCCACTTACAAAAAGAAGCTGCATGCTGACAGGTCTTCAACCAGTGAGATCTCATTATTGGAGACAATTAGAAATGATGTACATGGAGAATATTACAAGTGGGAAGAGCTCTCTCAGGCAGTTCTTTTTTTCATTAACACCACCAATGATTGTATCTGTTTCAGCAAAATGGATGCATGCCTCCTGAATGTGTAATGCAGCTCCACAGTGCTGGTAAACACAGCAAGAGGCTATTACACAGTGCTGCCCATTGTTTTGACCAGAACGAGAAGATGATAACAAAGTATCTGTTTGGAATTACAATTAGATGGTTTGTTATTGGCTTTTCCTTTCTCCTCTTCTATTTTTCATATTGGGGTTGGCTACATTGGCCGGCTGCTCTCATCACTAAAGACTTCACATAATGGCTTCAGTCGAACCTTTCCTCCCTTTGTTTTGAAAGTCAGTCATCAGTAGTGGTCACACCAGAGAGTAATGAGAGTTCATAATTATTAAATGAATTGACCAAAGATCCTTACATGGGCAGAAATGTAATGACATAGCAAATGAAATCGCCCCTCTATTACCTTCTCAACGGTCTAATTACATGGTTAAAAGGCATGGTGGGCCGGCAGATTCAGCACAAAGCGCAGCTGAGTCCGTCTCCCCTGCTGTAGGAGGATTTTAACATCGTCAGATTTTCAGCTTGTGTCTCCTCATGAGAACAGTAGCCTCCTCTTCATTTCCCTCTGTGGAAGCTGACTCGAGTGCAGAAATAGAACAGTTTAGGTTGGTAAAATATGAGAACCGCGGCGGTTGCGGTCATGTAAAGATGTGGTTTTTGCTTTGAGCTCATCTGTCTTAATTGACAAAAATGGACACTATCCACTAGTTGTGAGTGAATGGAGGCAATTGTCAGAAAACAAATAGGCTTGTTCACTCAACACCCCGCTGCTTAGATGTCTTCTGGGAGTAACTCTGTTGTATAGTGCATCTCTCCTGCCAGCGGAGGCAGAAAACAAGTTGAGAGACTGCAATTGCCAAAGGACAACGGCACACAGAAGCCGAGTATATAGGTATGTGTGTTATTATTGTTCTGTCCGGTTATTATTGTTCTGTCCGGTTGTGTTGATAAGTGCTGAGAAAAAAAGGAAGCTGGAAGGAGGAAGGTTTAAACTCTCAGGCTTTTAGAGTGCAAATGTTTACAGTTCCCAGTGCCATGCCAGTGTTGTTTGCCCAGGAGACGAGTCGTTACCTCCTCACAAAGACCCCATGTCATCATTGTGGGCTTTCATGTGGGAATCCATTCATGTGGCGGGATTCAGCTGCTAACTAACCCGCCGTCGTCCTTTCTGTGTCGGTACAGGACTTTGATATTTGGCTGTCGTCCACTACAGTTGTGCTTTCTTTTCCCCTTGACTGATGCGTTTTCAACAACGCTATTCATTATTCCTGCACCAGCCACGACCAAGGTAACTTTCAGCGAAGTGCTTGTGAAGAGATTTCAGACTTAAATCTGAGCGAATGCCTCTTTGTTGAATCCCCTCCAAGAATCTAAAGAGCCGTGTATGCTCTTTTTGAAAGCCTGACCTGAAATATCCTCACCCAGTGGATTAGATTAAGGATGTATCTGAAGAACAAATTACATTAAATCTCTTAAGATCTATAAAGGGCCATCTTTAACATGTAATGGCTCCTTCACATTGTAGCCACCATAAGAATAAAAACGGATGATATCACCATAACTATGAACTGAGAAGAAGAGCTGTATAAAATGATTCCTCCTTTATCTTTATAGGCATGTCTGTGAAGTTAGGGGGATTTGGTTGAAATGTGCGACATGCAAGCTTTGGCTCCGTAGAACCATTAGTGTCAAGAGAGAAGCAAGGGAACAGACTCTGAGGGGGCTGGTGACAAAGAGAGCTAAATCTATTTTTTTTTTCTGACTTCCTTTGATTGTCATAGCTCACACTTTAATTCCTCCTGGATATGGATGAGCCATGGCTTTTAAGGATTAAGATTCATGTCGTTGTTAAATCTCTCGGGTTATCTCTGCGGGAGGGAAAGGGAGAGCATGATGTGGTTTCACACTGTCCGATTTGTGGGTTTAGAGGTTCTGGTCTTGGAATGATTTCCAGGTCATATGTGAGTGTTCATCAAAAAAACTGAATCCCGTTCTCTTGGCTTATTAGACTCAAAGGGATCCAAGACTGCTCAATTAGCCAGAGCAGGCCTCTTTTATTTCTGACATATTCCTTGGCCTCCACCTCTGGAGAATATCTCTCATCTATCTCTTAGCTCCCTGTGGGTGTGTGCCTGAAGTTGGAGTCTAGGAATGGAAGCCCCCACTGTGGGCCGCAGACTTCTCCATATTCCCTTCTTCCATCAGCAGATCCAGAGGGTTTCGCTGTTCCTAATTGATTTCAGCCCTCTCTCTCTCTCTCTCTCTCTCTCTTTCTCTTTCCCTCTCCTCATGTCTTTCTGTCTGTCTCTTCTGTTTCCATCCACTGACAACAAACATCTCCAACCCACATCTCCCAACTTTGTGCCAGTCAGGCAGTACCCTTCCCCTGTTGAATTAAAGAAAGAGTAAAGGCACCTCACACGTTCCTGCTGCAAAACTTGCCCTAAATTCAACACGGGAACATTTCTAGTTTGCAGCTCTCTGATCTACTGACGAAAATGCTGACAGGTGTCAGAATCGGGAAGGCAGCAGGAACAGGGCTGTGCTGACAACACGAGAGGGGGAGTGAGTGTGTGTGTGTGTGTGTGTGAGGGAGACAGAGATGGAGAGATGAGCTGAGAATCTAGTAAGCAGTCTTAGCGAGGGAAAATAAAAAGAGGAATAGAGGAAACAATCTCTCTGACAGGTAGGAGTGATTTTTTCCCCCTCTCACTCCCAGATAACTGTGAATGTGCCAGAGGATTTGACTGATTCTCAAACAACATTTGATTGAATTAAGTATCAAAACTCTTCCTGCGATTCGAACTGGCATCAACACGTGTCGGGATATGATATTTTTATGATTAGATCAACATACAAACTCTATACTGGGACCATCCATTTTGATTTGGATTTGCCTAATCTAATGTGGAACCTGTGGTGGAGGTAAAATGGCTGACAGTGACAAAGAGCTCAGTGCAATACAAGCATTAAGGAAGGTAGAGTGCGCACACACACACACACACACACACGCACACACACACACTCAAACATACCAGAGAATGCTAGCAGGTGTAGTGAAGTCTGTGATGAACAACCAAGATGCAGATTTTGCCTTTGAGATGTGGAGTTGTGGAAAGAGAAGGACACAAAACACCATTTCAAGCTGTGTCCAT